CGTGTATTCCATAACAAAGATATCAGTCACTCACTCACTCAAAACTGTTCAGCCCATTCACATCATCTATTTTCCGTGTCCACTTTTCTTTTCTACACACTCGCCATATTTTTGCTGTCACATCATATCTACACTGGGCGCAACAAAGCATTGCAAATCATTTGAACTATGTCGCGCTGCGCTGCATCCAGTGTAAACAGCATCACTGATTATAATGGGTTCTATTGTATTTTGTTGTGTCGCACCGCGCCACTCGCATCCGGTGTAGACACGATGTAAGTTAATGTCGCTTTCTGAAGCTGCGTTTTAATTTTCATGCCACATTATTTGAAATTAGCGCAGGCCAAACATTTTTCTCTCACGGGCCGGATGTGACCCACGGGCCACCTATTGAGGAACCCTGTCCTATACTGTGTTTATTAACTAGGATGTTGCTTGAATCAGTACAGCCAGAGACCCCTGGTCTTCCAGTACCAGTGCTGTGAGGAAGGATGCTACGGTAGGCCTAGCAGAGACAGGGAGGAGTGTGGTAGAGGTAGGAAAAACCCAACAGACAGACAGTGACAGCAAAGAACAACATACTGTAGCGAATGACAGTAACAGCAGACAAATGGCATAAACAGACAGCACACAGACTCTACAACATCCTCAGATTCTTTTTCTTTTGTTTTTACTGTATGTCAATTTTTTATAAACGTGTGCTCTTTAAAAAGTAGTAAGCATTGTTTGCCAGACACATACATTAAATGTTTAAATATCTGTTACATATATGGTACTGCTTATATTATTTCACCATCTGTACACAAATATAAGTAGTGAATGCGTGTGTCCATGGGTGGGGCTGTGTCGGTGTGGTAATGTGGGCCGGTGTGGCTACAGTGCCAGGGCTGAATTTTTGTCCCAGTCCCTGCCTGCTGGTATGAGACTCGAAACCGCAACTTTTGGGTAAAGAGTCCGACTCTCTAACCATTAGACCACAACTTCCCCCAAATGTTACATGTTCTTTATAGCGACAATGGATAATTTACCTTAGATCTTGAAAATTAATTAAAGGAAACATAAACGTTCAAACTGTGAATGCAATGTGAACAAAAATGTGTATTCAGTGACAAAGATTGTATCAGCCACTCGGTGTGTATTTTTAATAATGAGAAAATGGTTTAATATGAGACAGGGAGGAGTGTGGTAGAGGTAGGAAAAACCCAACAGACAGACAGTGACAGCAAAGAACAACATACTGTAGCGAATGACAGTAACAGCAGACAAATGGCATAAACAGACAGCACACAGACTCTACAACATCCTCAGATTCTTTTTCTTTTGTTTTTACTGTATGTCAATTTTTTATAAACGTGTGCTCTTTAAAAAGTAGTAAGCATTGTTTGCCAGACACATACATTAAATGTTTAAATATCTGTTACTGCTTATATTATTTCACCATCTGTACACAAATATAAGTAGTGAATGCGTGTGTCCATGGGTGGGGCTGTGTCGGTGTGGTAATGTGGGCCGGTGTGGCTACAGTGCCAGGGCTGAATTTTTGTCCCAGTCCCTGCCTGCTGGTATGAGACTCGAACCCGCAACTTTTGGGTAAAGAGTCCGACTCTCTAACCATTAGACCACAACTTCCCCCAAATGTTACATGTTCTTTATAGTGACAATGGATAATTTACCTTAGATCTTGAAAATTAATTAAAGGAAACATAAACGTTCAAACTGTGAATGCAATGTGAACAAAAATGTGTATTCAGTGACAAAGATTGTATCAGCCACTCGGTGTGTATTTTTAATAATGAGAAAATGGTTTAATATTAGTGAATTAGATTACTAATCAATTTCGTTGAGAATGCAGCATACTCTCAGAGAAAGGCTCCGCCCAAACGCTTTTCTGATTGGCCGTGATTTTTGGTTGATTTTGACACATCTTGTGTTGACAGACAAATTGCTTGTCGCTGGAATCTTATCGCCTCGCGTCCAGGACACGGTGTAAAACAAAAGCCTCAGGACAGACCTTGTGTACATTTCCTGTTTACGGCAGTGAAATGACATGATCCCAATGTGGTTTATCTTTATGAAATCAGTGCCCATACCGGAAGAATAAATCATCCTGTTTACGCTGGAATACGTGACAATCTCAGATGCCCGACATGAGGACCTGCAGGTGACCACTGAGAACATTTTTGTCCAAGTATCAAAAGGAAAAGCTGGTTTCCCAGGATACACTGATCTGAAGCGCCGTTATAGTTTCGTCATGATGTAATTAACTCCAGGAGCATGACCGGAGCTCAGGTGAGACGATCTGCAGCAGCATGTTGCATCAGAATTGCGTAAGATGGGGAATATCTCCATTTCAAAGCCTAAAGAAAGGAAACCGGTTTATTCTGTACTCCTGACCTAGTAGTTTGGATTTCAGCCTACGAGCTTAAAGGGGTCATATGATGCGATTTAAATTTTTCTTTTCTCTTTGGAGTGTTACAAGCTCTTGGTGCATAAAGAAGATCTGTAAAGTTGCAAAGACTAAAGTCTCAAATCCAAAGAGATATTCTTTATAAAAGTTAAAAGTCAACCACGCCTACCTAACATGCCCCCACATGTCTACGTCACGATGTGGGAAGATTTGCATAATGCCGCCCAAATGTTCACGCAAAGAGAAGGCGTAACTTTTATTCTCGCTGTAGTATTGTTGTTGCCGCCACCGCCATGTCGTGAAGGCGCTGTGTGTTTCGTTGTGAAAGCGAAACTATTTTGTTTGGCCTTCCAAAAGAGGACGATATCCGCTTCATCATGCCTAGAGCTGATCTGTGCTGGTTGCTGAGGAAATCCATCAACTTCACGCTGTCGATCGCCAGACACATCGCCGCTTTCACCGTGGACAGAGTCCAGCCCGGGGTCGTCACATGTGGTTGCCGCAAGCCCACCGGCCACTCCTTCGTCGCGCTGTTCTCAAGCCCACCCGCCTCCACTCACGCAAGGCCGCCATGTGTGACGCTGTTTCACTGTGAAAGCGAAAATACTTTGTTTGGCCTTCCAAAAGAAGACACGACTAGAAATCAGTGGTTAAGTTGTATTTACAACACTGTTCAAGAACACTTCAACCCAAATATTCAGATGTGTGCAGCGCATTTTATGGAGGACTGTTTCCTGATCCTGGTAGAGTAGACTACAATGCTGGCTGTTCTGACTCACAGACCGTAAGTACGTTTTTTATAATTAAAGAATTTGCCACTGATGATTCAAACACAAGTTTTTTGGGCAGTGTAGATTAGCACTTGTTGTTTGTCATTTCTCCGATCACAAATGCAGACAGAGTTTTATGTTTAAGCAGCGCGATGCAATGCAACGCGTAAAAAGACAGTATAAGTCATTATAATCCATAATTATGTCCCCACTGGATGCAACAAATGCCTCGTTTATAATGGGTTTTAATGTTTTTGTCTCATCGCTCCGGCCGGACAGGGCATCACAATATGGTGAGGGGTGTAACATTTCCGTCACACGCTTGAGATATTCGGCCAATCACAACGCACTGGATAGCTGGCCAATCAGAGCACACCTCGCTTTTTCAGACCGATGAGCTTTGTAAAAATCGACGCGTTTAAGAAAGGCAGGGCATAGAGGAGAAACAATAATGTACAGTATGTGGAAAATAATGTTTTTGTAATCTTAAACAAAACAATATACAAAATAATGTTCTTTTTAGCAACATCATATGACCCCTTTAAAGCAGATTGGGAGGGGTTAGTTGAAAATTTTAATAAGGACCCAATAATGTTAAGGAATTTACTTTTTTAAAATCAAAATATAAATTGCATAGGTAATTAAAAAAATTTCACCTCAGAAAAAAAAGTCATATTTTGAGATCTGAAGTATTGTTTATACAATATTATAGTACTACATTTATTAATATTTTTTATTTGATTTTATTCTTGATATTTTCAGTTTTCATTTTGAGTTTAGTTTACGTTTTAGTCATTTTGTTTAATTTAGCAACATTGTTGTTATTAGATATTTCAAGTTAAATTTATTTCAGTTTTAGTATTTCAACAAACTTATTTCTGTTAGTTGCAACATTTCTTAATCTTCATTTAGGTTTAAGTTTACGTTTTTTTAATCTAATATTTTATTTGAGTTCAGCTTTATTTTAATTACTGAAAAATATTTTTTAATAGTTTTAGTTAACAATAGCAACACTGTTCTGTGAAATATAAAATCGTCTTTTTTATTCTGAAGTATAAAAAGACTCATGTTTTCATGTTTTTTTAAATATCATTGTATTTTAGTTCAACACAATGAAATTATATATACAGATCATTCAATTCACATTATAACAGCAGTTAACAGGACAAATTCATTTACTTCATATTTAGAGATCATATTTCATATTTTTCTCCCACTCACAGTGAGTGCATTGGTATATATATGAAATTATATATGAAATAAGCACATTTTTGTACAATTTGAATTGTGTAATATTGAATAATGGGAATCTTTTACACATGAAACCACAAAAAAAAAAAAAATTGAAGTACTGATATGTATTTACATGGGCATATTTGACCACTTAATCGTGTATTACATAATCGAATTTCTAATATTTAAATTTAATATTCGACTATATACAGTAAAAACTTTTAAAAACTCATTCTCACACATGAAGACTATGAAAATGAAACGCATATGAAATCTCTCAAATGCTTACATTAATATCTACATCTAGTCAACATATGATCTACATACTACATACATCCATTTTAAGATTTTAAAAAATGTCAGACTTCTTTTAAACAGTACATTATACTTGGAAAACAATCCAGATTCACACAGATTTTATGGCATGTCAAGTATACTAATGAAATCTGCTGAGGATCTTGAAAAATGATCAGAAGATGAATTAATGAGGTAAAGTTCAAACTTAACAAGTGCATTGCTGTGGGAGATGTGGTGTGCTGGGTCGTACACATGCTCAGACATGCTGCATGGAGGCGTGCGTTTATGCGGGTGACTATCACTGAAAATGGTAGAAATAATGTAATGCTTTGTACTGTCCTTAAATTCCCTTTGAGTTCTGCTCTAACTTTTCATCTCTGAGGGCAGACTGCAGGAGAATTCAGGAGGAATAGCACGTCAGGATGATCAAAAATGGCCTTCACAGAGTCAAAAACGAGCCCGGCCCACCTTCAAGACTTCAGCATCTCCTGTGTGGAGACCTTGCTGTCCTCTGCGGTGTTCTCTTTCAGGCTACTGTTTGTCTCCCGACCGGAGCTGCGCTGAATGTTGGCCTTGGATGACCTCTGTCGCCTTGTCCCGCTGCAAACGCAGCGCAATAGGTTCTTGATAGTGGTCCACATTTCCTCATCTCTGTAGGAGTAGATGATCGGGTTCATGACGGAGTTGAGGACGGCGAGGAGCAGCAGCCAGCGTTTGAATTTCAGTACGTCGCATTTCTCGCAATTGAGTCCATCCAGGAGCAGAACCACAAGTCCAGGGGTCCAACAGATCACAAATGCTCCTAAAAGACAAACATTTGGGTTTCAATTTTTTTAAAATTATAAAATACATACATTTGAAGATATCACATACATGTTACACATATGTTTAATATAAGTTTTTGTATTTATTAATATATAAATAAAATTAGAATAAAATAATTTTTTATATTATTTTTATAAAAAAGTTGTATATAAATCTAATTTTAATTTTATTTATACAATTTATTTTAAATATATTTGTCTATAAATATATTTTATTTACACACATTTTTAATCTATGCTTATATTATATAATATATATATATATATATATAAAACTTATACTAGTAATTTATATAACAGGGTTGAAAGTTTTACAGTTTAACCTTACTAGCCTATTCAAGGTTATGAAAAGGTGATGATATTTAAAAAAAAATTCCCCTCAAGGAAATGAAAACAGAGACATTTGCCATTGGTTCCCTGTGGCAATCAGGTTCCACAATTTGTCTCCTCTCTCAAAAAATATGCCTTGCTGTACCCCTAAGATCAACCTTAAAGGGATAGTTCACCCAAAAATGAAAATTTGATGTTTATCTGCTTAACCCCAGGGCATCCAAGATGTAGGTGACTTTGTTTCTTCAGTAGAACACAAATGAAGATTTTTAACTCAAACCGTTGCAGTCTGTCAGTTGTATAATGGAAGTGAATGGGAATCACAGCTTTGAGAGTCAAAAAAACATACGCAAACAAAACCAAATTAAACCTTGCGGCTCGTGACGATAAATTGATGTGCAAAAAACTGAACAGTGTTTATATAATTTTTTACCTCTAATTTACTGCAAGAAGAAAAGCAAGAAGAAGACGTGTCACGCGCAGGCTGAAGGAGAAGACACGAATGCGCTCAGGACAGTTCGGACATTGCATTAAATCAGAGGTAAAAAACGATATAAATACTGTTCAGTTTCTTGCACAGACAGATCGTTTCGTGTCTTTACATATCAGTGTCTCATCACGAGATGCAGGGTTTAATTTGGTTTTGTTTGTGTGTTTTTTTGACTCTCAAAGCTGTGATTCCCACTCACCTCCATCATAAGACTGCAACGGTTTGAGTTAAAAATCTTTGTTTGTGTTCTACTGAAGAAACAAAGTCACCTGCATCTTGGATGCCCTGGGGGTAAGCAGATAAACATCAAATATTAGTTTTTGGGTGAACTATCCCTTTAAACACACATTGCATTTTGCACTGCTGTAGACGGTGCTGCTGTGTTTTTCCTCATTGTTTGTTTTAACCATATTTAGAGAATGCACTTCTGCCCCAACATGCACAATAACCCTCTTTTTCGAGCCTCGATAGAGTGACTCACAGCAACAAAGCTGCTTTTAGTTATAGTTCCCCATAATTCTTTTAAGTTCATATGAAATCCTGTCTGTACAGCAAAACAAGCTCAGACAAACAGGACGAATCTCAGGTGAAGAACATGTAGTATCATGTCTTTCAAGATTAGAAAACACTCATAAGGACTAAAATGAACAAATTAGATGGTTGTTTTCAGATGCCAGAGCTTCTCCTGACAAAGCCGCACAAAACCTGCCTCCTGTTTCACTGCTAAAAATCATTTTCTTAATCAGTATTTTTGTCTTTTTTAATAGTAAAAATGTCGAAAAATTCTTACAAAAACACTGATGAATTTAATTGTTTCTTAAGCAAATTTTATTTGTTTGAAAGAAATTTAGATATTTTGACTGTAAAACATGTTGACTGACTTTTGATGTATGAATCTCTTACTTGCATCATACGCACATCTGCACTTTGTTTATGATGAGAGAATTCGCGAGAGAGCAGAATTCAGTCAGCGAGCGCATGCACTATTTGACTGTAAACCATAGGTGGAGCGTGTGTAAGGCTGGGGAAGGCTTAGCCCTCCCCTGGCCATGGGTCGGAAATTAATGTGGGCTTGGGACAAGATGCCGCTGCACAGTCAGTTAAACTAAATCCATTACTGCTTTCATGAATATAATGTATCTGTTCATGTTGCATCAATTCTTTTTACGCGTATTTTCAGCGTTGCACATTATAACCAATCACACACGATTCCATTGTGTTTATGAATATAGCGGCCAATCAGAAGCGTTCAGACGAGTCATCGCTGAAACACCGGAGTTTTGATTAGTGCATGCGCTCGCTGACTGAATTCTGCTCTCTCGCGAATTCTCTCATCATAAACAAAGTGCAGATGTGCGTATGATGCAAGTAAGAGATTCATACATCTGTTTGTTTAGACGGCTTCACTGATTATAAGGGGATTTTTTTTAGAGTGCTTAAATTCACGCTAGACTGAAGTCAGTCATAATGTTCTTTGATAATGTAAATGTTCTTTGTGTGTGTTCTCTGTATAATTTATTCACTATTTGAATAACCGAGTGAAAGTATTATAATTAGTAACTTAGAATGTTTTTATTAAATTATGATCAAGTTAAATACAAATCAAGTTGTATTAAAATGTCTTATGACATGATACCCATATCTGGATCTTGTCTGAAAAGATGGGTTTATGATGTGCATTGTTAACAGAATACGTCAACATTAGGCTACTTTTAGCCTTTCCCTGGAGTATAGGTTCACCCTTCACCTATGGTTATTATAACTATTGATAAAAAGTGTTTTGTAAGGTTAAAAGTGTAATAAATGCACATATGTGGCTCCAGAAAGGCACATACTGAGAGCTTATGACAAAACCTCATCAAATGGAGATTCCTCTGTGGTTTCTAGTAAGTTCACCATTTAAGTGAACACTCGTTCCCTTTAATCGTATTAAACGGTTGTGGAGGAGGACAGAGTACCATGTTTTCTGCAGATGTGCACAGAGTTGTAAGAGCCCTTTTCATATATGCATTTATTACACGGCATAACGAACAGCAGCGGGTTGAGAGGGTTGGGTACCGCAGGGCCACAACTATTTTAAAAGAAGACCTTCAAAGATTTTAAATTGTGTAATGGACCATGTAACGGCAGCACTGCTACAGATGGAACAGCAATCGGGCATAAACAATTAAAAATAAATATAATTTGTGTAAATAAATAAATAAAGCTACAGTGAGTTAATGCAGTTATATAACATTACGGAATGTTACGGAGAGTTGTTAAGCAGCAAACAACCAATCGTAAATGAAGTAGTGTTCCCTCGCAAAACTTTTGAGCGTTTTGCAATTAAACACAAAGTTTCTCACAGGATTATAAAGGTTTTGCAAGCGAGCACAAAGTTCCTTGTGGGAACAAAGTTTTGAGAGCAACTGCAAAGTTTCTCGGGAAACGCAAAGGTTTTGTGAGCAAACAGTTTCTTGGGGAAATGTGAAGTTTTGAGAGCAAGCTTGGGGAACACAAACATTTTGTGAGTGAATGCAAAGTTTCTTTGGGGAACAAAGGTTTTGCAAGCAAACAAACTTTCTTGGGGGAACGCAAAGGTTTTGCGGATGTTTGCAAAGTTTCTCAGGGCAACTTTTTGGAGAGAATGCAGAAGCATTCAAATATATATATTTTTTCCTCCAATCTCATATTTTCCATCACCATGTCCCTTTAGGGACTCCGGGAGGCAGTTAAAAATAAACAACTATATGTAATTTTCTTTCGGACCAATTATGTGTCAGCATTTAAACAGATCCAGGACACAAGTTAAAACAGGATATTGATTATTAGATCAATGTTTCAATCTCATAAATATGCTAATAAGGTGGTTAATTGAGGGTTTACAAATGTACAGTGTGAAATCTTTTAAATCTGAGTTTATGTTCTAACCAGCCAGGGCCACATGTAGTATTTCTTTTTCTACACTTGGTAGCCCCAACCACTGTGAAATTCCATTGGTCCAGCATCCCACTTCTCATAACTGTACATTAAACAACATTTTCTTACTGGCTGTGATTGTGTCACAAGCAGTTTTGCATTGAGTTTGTATATCCAAAAATGCGCATCAGATGTACATTTTGGGGGATTTTTATTTTTATTTTTTTACATTGAATTATCCTGTAACGCTTGTAATTTTGATGTTTCTACATTTACACAGAAAATTTCCATTTATGCACATCTGAAGTTAATATTTACAAGAAAGAAAGAAGGTACTTTTTCCCAGTGGTGTGGTTTCTTTTCTGTTTTCAACAAAGAATTTCTCAAAAGAGGAGTTGTGCAACAGATTAATGTAACCTTTACCACCAAACATGCCACAGGACAACAAAGAAAGAATGTAGCATGCTTCTGAAACCCAGGCATCTGCTTTTATCTGCAGTTCGTTCAAGAAATAACTGATGAGTACTGGGCTGTGAATCTTCATTATACTGTATAAAGTCTCCCAGACACATTCTCTGTATCTTCAAAAAACAATCCCTCCTGAAAACAAAGTGATCTCATCTGGCCAAAAACAGATTTTCACACATGTGAGCAACTGCCGTTTAAGACAGTCACGCATCAAGTATGAGTTTCATGCTCTTTTACTCCAAGGCAACAGGCCACTCATGCTGGTGGTTTGATTCAGATGCCAGGCAGTGTAAAGAGCGACCTTGTGCAAGATAATTATACAGGCCTGGAGGAAGCCTGTTGAGCAGGGAACAGACGACTCCTCCACTTTGGCCCTATCTGCAACTTGAAGTAGTAAGAGATACTCCTAAAAACTGGTATAAAATCAAAATTTCCTTCTCTGCAACGTTCTGGTCTGACATAATTACTGAATTTCTCCACAAAAAAAAAACCTATTTAGACCAGCATAAACCAGCTTTCATGATGGTGAGTGCTGGTTTGGTGATGGTCTAGCTGGTAGTTTTCTTCAAGGTCTATAAACAGCAACTTTTGAATACAATTTCTATAAAGAGCATTTTTGAGAATTTTAGATACTCAAGTCAAAAATGCATTACTAAAAAAAATCCAATTGTTCTAATAACATATATAGATGATATCTCATACATATTTGCTTCACGGTTTATCAATATTTTAAAGTTGTGATGCAACTCTACAAAAACATTTATTAATTAAAAATTAATTAAAATATATTTAACTTGAAAATCACATTAAAGAGCTTTTATTAATGAATGATGAAAATGTGTACACTTACACCACATGACATTTGTGACCCTGGAGCACAAAACCAGTCTTAAGTCGCTGGGATATATTTGTAGCAATAGCCAAAAATACATTGTATGGGTCAAAATTATCGATTTTTCTTTTATGCCAAAAATCATTAGGATATTAAGTAAAGATCATATTCCATAAAGATATTTAGTAAATGTCCTACTGTAAATATATCAAAACTTGATTTTTGATTAGTAATATGCATGACTAAGAACTTCATTTGGACAACTTTAAAGGCGATTTTCTCAATATTTAGATTTTTTTTTTTTGCACCCTCAGATTCCAGATTTTCAAATAGTTGCATCTCGTCCAAATATTGTCATATCCTAACAAACCATACATCAATGGAAAGCTTATTTATTCAGCTTTCGGGTAAATAAATAAATATATAAATCTCAATTTCGAAAAATTGACACTGGTTTTGTGCTTTAGGGTCACATTTTAAGAGTCATTAAAATGTAAACTTTTCCTAAAAATGGTATTGTAAAAGTTTTTCAAAACCATATAAAACCAACAAAATTACATAGACCACATTTATTTGTATTTATGGATTTTCTTTTAAATGTTAACAATTTAAAAAATAATTCCTTCCCTTTATCACACACTTTTATTTATCACTGGCCTGTTTGCAGACAAAAACATCTGGTAGATTGTTTGAACACACAATTCATAATAAAAGACAAAGAAAAACAAAAGGCAAAAGAAATCCAACCTTTGAACTTATGATAGCAATCAGCTAATGCAATGGTGGGAGGTTTCGTGTTTTGTGTCTCCTTGTTAACTCTTGCATCCCATTGTATGTTAACTCTTCAGTATCTCCTCATTCAAGTTTAACATCTCCCAAAAATTATGTAGATGTCTGCCGTGGTTAACAGGATATGAGATCACATACTTCCAATCTAAATATTTGTCATGTCTGTAATAAATTTGCAGAAATATTTACCCACCGTCCCACATCACCCACACTTGAGTGGGTTACAAGTTTGGCAAGAAATATTTGAGACTTTACAAGCCTCCATCGTGAGTAAAATTAACATTCAGCTGTCTGGGAGCGTTTATCATGGTTACAGACTAAAGGAGTGGACTTTGGACAGCTCATCAGAGCTATGGATACTTGTGGGAAAACTATAAACCAACATATCCTGTAATTGCCATTGAACTTTGAGTGACTGAGGAGTGATAATACATTCTGATACACATCACAGTCTGGAATGCATGTGGTGGTTCAACGTGTCGCATTTGTGCAATGAATTCACTTCCCATTTTATCAGGCTACTTGTAGTAATTTAGTATTGTCATACTAAAGGGATAGTTCACAAAAAATAGAAGAAGAAAGAAAATTATGTAATCATTTACTCAACATCACGTCATTCCAAACCAGTAGTGATGAACCAAAATGAATATTTTTACCAAGACATTAAACCAAAATTAGTTTGGTAATTAAATTTGGGCAGTTGGGTAATTGAACGCTTTATGCTTTTCAGGGTGTCGTCTTTTCTGGTGATAAAGCAGTTGTAGTGAATGCATTATGCTGAGCTACTCGAGCACAATTCTTGGTAATGGGGAAGAGTACCCACACAGCTGGCATGGTTTCTTGTTTTAGGTTATCCACATTGTTTACATGAAATAGAATCTGAAACAGTCAAAACACATCATTAAAAAAAGCTTGAAATAAATATTACTGTTTCGGTCAAAATGCATATCGGTTAGTCAGCTGAAACCGCCAAAAAGTTTTCTCGAATGCAGAAATTTCAGTGCATCAATACAATCCGGTATGATTGAAATGGCAAAAAACTATGAATTTTTGGCTTTGGCTTAAATAAATTTGTTGGGACTTCGTAGGCATGCACCGAAATGTCTGCAACTGAAAAAGTCCCGTGACAAAATTGATAAATTTTGGCCATTTCTGCCAAGTATTTTCCGTTGCCAATATTTCACTGCATAACTACAAACCGTTATGCAATTTGTTCTTCTGTGGAACACATAAGACATTTTGATGAACGATTTAACTGTTTTTGACCATAAAATGAAAGTCAATGGGGTCCAAATCCATAACAGACCTTAATGAAGTTACTGTAGATGCCATATTGAATTTAACGAGAAAATGAGGCTGTGAGGGAATGACTACAGTCTTTACAATAGCACACACTGAACTGCTTTTTTATTTTATTTTTTGAAAGACAAAAGCTGTTCATCAGCTGAACAAAATGTAAAAAAATTAAATATGCCTATGTCCTGACTAAGGACTCCATTGACTTACAAAATATCTTCTTTTGCGTTCCAAATAAGAAAGAAGGTCACACAGGTCTGGAACAACATGAGCATTTTCATTTTTGGGTGAACTATCCCTTTCGTAAGACCATATCTAAAGAGCATCTCCAGAACTTACCAAGTACGGTCATCACAGTTTTGATGAGCTTGACTGGCGTCCTCTTTCGATTAATAGATCCAGAAGTGTGTTCCTTCAGGACAACAGTCTTTCTCATAACATAGATGTATATCCTCAAGTATATGCCCACCATTATGAGGAAGAGCACCAGGTTGGACACAGACCAGAAGATCAGGTAGCTCTGGCTAAAAATGGGTGCTAATTTGGAGCACAGGTCCAGACTGCAGATACAGTTCCAGCCCAAACTAGGAACGGCCCCCATAAATATCGAAATACCCCACACAAGGGCAATCAACAGGGTCACCCGACGTTTGGTGAGGTTACTGTGAACCTTCCAGTTCATGATGGAGATGTAGCGCTCGAGGGCGATCACCAGGAGGTTGGTCAGGGATGCGGAGAGACTCGTGTCCAGTAAACCCTGCCGAAAGAAGTAGCCTTGAACGGTGAGATCGCGAGATATTTTCCCTGTATTAAACATGAGATACACGTAAGCGATCCCGGCGAGAAAGTCTGAGGCGGCGAGGTTGGCGAGGAGATAGTAGAAGGGGTAGTGAAACCTCTTGTTTGTCACCACCGCCGTGATGATCATGGCGTTGGCCACTAGGATGAAACAACAGCAGATGGATCCAGCGACCTGAACCAGGATGAGCTGCGTTTGGTCCCATTCATCTGAGGTTATGTTGCTGTTGTTGTAGAAAAAGCCCATGGGCTTATCATGGTAGCAAACGTTATACCTGGCCATCTTTGGACAAAAACCACTATGAATGGAAGGAAAACAACAAATAAGTATATTGTCTGGAACTATAAAGCTTCATTTATTAGTCATTCATGGGAAACCCCATAATTACAAAAGACAAAAGGCCACCAGAATTGCAATAAACTAAACAACAAAGAATCCAACATAAACACTCAAACATACATGATTGAAAATTGATTAATAGACTAACTTTTTGAATAAAATCCAAATAAATGTTATAATAATTGCCCTTTCTACATTATTTCACCCTAAGAATATCTGTATTGCATTATTAAATACACTATAAAATTAGGTAAATAGTTTGTTTTTCACATCTAAAAACATTTTTTGCAATGCTTTACAATAAACTTACATGTTTTTTTTTTAAAGTATAACATTTTTACTTCAGTTTGTACTGTAGCATTTGTACATTTGTACATTTTTACCAGGTTTCATTGCCATTTTAGCCATTTTAATCACACTTCGTCTTCGTATAGTCAAATTAGTATTAGCACCGCAGGGTACAATCAAAACAAACCAAACCAATCAAAATCCCACGTGAATTCAAGTTCTGGCGCAATCGTCGGCTCCTTAAAAACACAACCAACTGTATGAAGCTCGTCCAGTAACATGCAGTGATATATACAGCTCTCTTACCAGTGTCAGACCCGTCAGGTTCTCAGGTCACTCTCCATGAGTAGTCCGAAGTATCGCGCAGATCCGGCGTGACTCCACAAGCGCAAGGCGACTCTGAATGAAGTTTCTGCAGAAGTTTGTTCTTGAGAGTTTTAGGGAGGAGAGTGGGCGTGTCAGACTGTCAGTGTGGGCGTGGTCAGCTGCTTTCGTAAAAAGTAAATAAAAACTTAACGCCATGAAGTTTTTCGAAAAGGAAATAACGCTAAACTTGCGTTTCATCTCAGCACGAGCCGAAGACCTCAAGTGTTTAAATAAAAAAGGTTGACTAGTTTAAGGTTCAAACGAATTCAGATTGTGTCACTGTATAGACAAAAGTACTATTTCGTAACGTTACGCAATTTTCCTCAGGTGTGTGAGGTAAAGGAGGATCCACAACATTGAACATCATCAAATATGAAGATTTGGGTCATGCAAGTATAGGCACCTCAATATCTTAGTGAACATTTCATATTTAAGCAGTCATAATGAGGATAACAAGAAAATAAGCATTTTCCAATGTATTGAGGGTATGGAGATTGATCGAAATGCTATTTATAGAAGAAACAAGCCATATTCATAAAGAGATTTGTTTTACTTTTGGCGCCGTTGCTCTGCATGTCATCATTGCGATTGTAAACATAAGCCTATGTAAATATTTGACCTTCTGAATGAGCTTAGTTTCACTGAATAGGAAGTACAATAAAATAAAAGAAATACATAGGCCTAATTAAAAACATAATAGAAGTAATGAGTGTCAGAGCAGGTCAATTACAGATTTTGTGTCTGGTTTGGGATTGAGTTTCATTCCTTATAGAAAAAAGAACTGAAACCATCATTCTAAAAACTAAGCATCTGGTTTAATTGGTTTTTGAGGTCAAGAAAGCACCTTTTGCTAAACTCTCTCTTTTAACAACCCATCTAATTTGACTACTTTGAATAACAAAGCTTTAACCCAAACACCCGCCCGCTCGCCCAAAAAAGAAAATCACGCACACAAAAGGCGTCTTTAGTTTTGCAAATACAAAATCTTTTTGATTATCTTTCGTTCCCGCACCCAAGGTCTTTCTCCCAGTGAGCAATTGCAAAGTCACGTAGGAACTTGTCTGCCTTCCTTGTTAATTGTGGGATGATGATGATAATGAGCCGTGATTCACATCATAAAGTATGACCATCTCCACCAAGACAAAAGTTACCTTAGCTGAGTGAACAATGCATTCTTACAACGCCGGTGTTGCACATACACATTACAATCATTCCTTAGACACTTCACATATTTGAAGCACAATATCAAGAGACTTTATCTTTGAAATATTTCTAAACACCTTTGACGCAACACGCCAAAGGGCTGATATAAAAATCAGCACAAATGTGTAATTTAATGTGACTTCTCTAATGTAAAACATGAGCAGACAATCCAGATAACACATACATAATATCATAAAAGATATTTCCTCTATTATACAACATTAGACAGGGATTATTTTACAGATTGCACATCAAAATGCATTAAACATCTTCTGCGGTTGCCAGTTGACCCACAAAACACTTCATTTTTTGCTCTTAATTGCATTGTAGTGCACTTTGGAAGATATGATTTGGCATTTATCCATCTGCTAATGCAGGTCTTACCAGCTCCTAATGAAATTGGCATGTTCACAGGAAGATCTTGCTTCCTGTGTAGGACATGAACCATGTACATAGAGTGGTAAACATGTTCACACAGACTTTCTCTTATTAAGCTGCAAGTCCATTGTAGTTTTCAGTAGATTCAACTTTGAATCAGTCGCAATGGTCAACTGATGAGAATGATGGTGTCATCTTTGGGAACCCTGCAAAAAAGGACACAAATTTGGTATATTGTGAGTTGCCGGTTCATATATTTGAACATAGATGATCTGAAACAGTTTCTGCCATCTTTGAACCAACTTACAGTACAATTTTGAATTCTGATGTGTTTTCAGTGCAGATTTTGGTTGCACAGCTTTCAACCTTTATTTAAATGTGTTTGGTCGCAGTTTCCAAAGGAAGTGAAACTAAAGTTTCCTAAAGAAACTTGTTTTTTTTTTTAGTCCAGAACACTTTGCAGGTTAGTTTAATGTCAAATTAGATAAATTCCTTAAAACAAACTATCCCTGTAACTCTTTTTGTAAAGAAAAAATTGGTTAGATCAGTAATTCATATTTTATAGTTTGGGGTAAGTAAAAAATAAAGAAATAAATAAAGAAATTAATATTTTTATATATATTAAATTGATCAAAAGTGACAGTAAACATTTTACATGTGTTACAAAAAAAAAATGCAAAAATAAATTACATTGAAAATATATTAACATAGAAAACGTTTTAAATTGTAATAATATATATAAAAAAAAATTATTCTAGGCCTATTTTTGATAATATAAATGCAGCATGGGTGAACATATACTTCCTTCAAAAACAAACTAACAAATAAATAGATACCAAATTGAAATGTGGTCTATTTTAACAACAAATGTGAAATTTTAAATGTATAATACATATATAATTTATATTTAAACATGTATTATTTATCATTTTTAAAGAACAATTTTGACCATTTATAATAGGGGTGATAAAAGATGCCAATATAGACAGAATCACTCAGCCAACCAGGCAGGAATAACAAGTTTTTCTTTCTTCCAGATGAAAAGATAATGAAGTATAATTCTGGTCCTAGTTTGTAGAGCAGGAACACCAGTTCTAATCTGAAGAGATGATGGAAGATTCTCGAAAAACCCAATTTCATCCCAAAGTACTGTAATATCCACGCTGAAATCTAATCAGTGCAGCATAAGTGGCTTTTAACCTGATATTTAGACACAGCATCAAATTACAGCCGGGCTTTCCCTCGCATCTGACACTCAAGCAAACAAGGAGTCCTCCTTTCAGAGTTCAGTTTCACGTTTTCTCGCATTGCAACCCAAAACAGCTAGAAACTTACAAGACAAAAAGCTCTGGCAATATTCCCCAGAGGGAGAAAAAAAGCTCTGAACAATAATGGGCATCATTGTGGGGGCAAATTTTTCTTTTCTAAACAGTCGTTTGTTTACCATTCCTGCAAGGCAAGGGGAAGCCTTCTCCATTTTTTTCCTCACAGAGAACATTTCTCTGTAATCAGCACTTTGCTGGGTGTGTCCATCTTTCTCTCCCACCACTAATTCCATTTCTCATGCCATAGTGGGCTGACCTCAGCTCTGGAGGAAACACTGCTGCCCTGCAGCTGATGTCTGTGATTATATACTGTACCTTTTGCAGCAACACAGCATAACAGAAGGGTGGACGGTCTCGGCTTCGCCACACTCTGCGTCGACCCCCTCCTTCTGCCCCATCAGAAACCGCTGGAGCTCTGTCATGGGGAAGCCTGTTGTTTGGTAACCCTAGACAAAATGGAGAAGTTGATATGAAACGCTACAAACTAGTGTTGTGCAGCTTTAATAGTGCTGAATTGTATTCAATCTACAAGGAAAGTTCATACAGCAATGAAAATGGTGCCACCATTTACTCACTCTGAAGTTGTCCTGACTCAGATTTAAATAAATAAAATAATCAAAGCAAAACGGAAGAAAAAAACAAAATGAAACAAAATCTAAACAAAAACAAAAAAACAGAATGAAACAAAACCAAATCCCCAAACAAAAAACAACCCCCTTACAAAAAAAACAAACACAAAACAAAACAAACAAACCAAACAAAATGAAAAAAAAAATACTTTCTTTCCTCTGATCTGATGTTTTGTCTAAGATTTAGGTTTTTTGCCTTATATATATAGAAAATAAAAAGGGTTTGGAAAGAAATGAGTAATGACAGTTTTCATTTTTGTGTAAACTAACCTATGAAGACAATAAAAAAATAATAATTTAATAAATAAAAATACATAGAATATCCCTTAAAGAGAAGCCTTTTTTTTGCATAAGAAAATAAAATGAGGTTGGAAAGACATGAGTAAAGGATGACAGTTTCATTTCTGTGTGTACTAATCTATTAAGAGAATAAATAGAGATATTTTTCACAGTCATAGACACTCTTTCGATCTACTATTATAACACTAATAAGGCCTCTAAATTAAAAAATAACTAAATGCATTTATTATATTACCATTGGTCTTTTTGCCTTTTTTATTCATTTATTTATTTTTTATTATTTGGATAGTCAAAAGTGGCTAGGAAATAACAGGATGAAAAAAGGTAACAAGATTGAGAAATGTGTTGGAACATGTGCGCTAACCACTAAACCATGGAGAAATTCTAGTACTAACTAGTCACTGTTTGTTGAGCGTGTTAAGCTGATGGTACCTTGATGGTCTCGTAAGCGTCTGTGATGAGGGCGATGAAGAGACTGAGCACCATGTAGATGAAGAGCGAGATGAACGAGTAGAGATAAGCTCGGCTGAACAGCCACACCATTGTGTTCTTTTGCTCAATCTCTGCAAATGTAGGGAACATGTCGTCCCCGTTGACTAGAGAGAAGAGGCACTCTGCCACACGACTCAGACCTTCAAACTGACCCGCATACAGATGGTAAATGCATGGGAGAAGACATGTGGACAAAATGTGCATGAGACCAGTGTGAAATACTGACATTTAGAGCAGTAGAAAAAATACATTTCATAAAAAACTTAATATTTCATATAATTGTTATGTATGAACGTGTGTGTATGTATGTATATATATATATATATATATATATATATATATATATATATATATATATATAAAATATTTTTTATATATGATGAAAATTACAGGCCTCTCTCATCTTTTTAAGTGGGAGAACTTCCACAATTGGTGGCTGACTAAATACTTTTTTTCCCCACTGTATATATATATATATATATACACACACATAGTTATTATTATAGCAGTTTTTAGATTAAATATTTTTTACATTTTAGATACTATATATATATATACACACACACATATTGGTATTATTATAGCAGTTTTTAGATTAAATATTTTTTACATTTTAGATACAATATATATATACACACACACACACACACATAAGAAAAATTTAATTATGGTTTAATATTTTAATATAAAAGTTATATTATGTTATATTATATTATATTTGGTCAATAGATGGCTCTTTAAATATAAGTCAACATATAC